TAATAATGTATATGATATGTTTTATAATTATTGATCATTAAAGTGTTTAAAAATTAGTTTGAATGACTTTGTATAGGCTACTGCAGGGTAGCTTGTGAATTTACTCCAGGTGGAACTAAAGTCTGATTTAACACTTGATTATATTTCACATCATTCATCCAGATCTGTGAAGTAACTAAAATGTATTAACTACATGTAGTGGAGGAAAAGTACATGATTTACCTCTGAACTGTAGTGGAGTAGAAGTACAAAGTAGCATAAATTGTACCTAAGTACAGTATACTTGAATAAATGTACTTTGTTACTTCCCTCCTCTGAAATCAGATATGACTACAAGTCATGTGATAATTTCTTAGTATTTGATCCTTCAACTTGGCCTCAGGAAATGCAAGGACTTCACAGTTTTGGCAACAAGTTTTGGAGAAAGCAAATCGGAGGCTTAAAAAGAGACAGGGAGGTGCATCTTCATCATCTAGCATGCAAGAAGTGTAAATAGAGGACAGTGAAGGAGACACTGAGGAGGACAGTGAGGAAGACTGCACTTATTAAAACCACGCTTCATGTGGGGTGAGTACCAAACGCTGTCTCCTGGTACTCATCTGAGTAACTCACTAAAAAAGTTATGTGCACCCCTGCCTATAGCCCATCCTTTAGGAAAGTAACACACCCTATAGCCCATCCTTTAGGAAAGTAACACACCCTATAGCCCAGGGGTACTCAAACCTTTTTATTAAAGGTCCACTTGTGAACTTTATACAAGGTCACTGGTCCGGATCAATGCCAGTAAAGTCACCCCCCCCCCCCCCCCCCCCGGTGCGGAGCAACGAAACTGAAATTAAGAAAATGTTTCTTACGGCGCTCTATGCATGGGGCCCCCTTGAGGGGGTTTCCCGACATGTCATTGCAGTAAATTAAAGGGTGTTTCATGTTGTCGTTGCTGTGGACCTTCTTAATCTACTTTCTTTGGGGGCCCCCCTTCTGGTCCAAGCACTTGCCTGCCTTGCCTGTCGGCAAACGGCGCCCCTGTAATATACACACACACATTCAATACATACATACAGTATGATGGCTTGAACTAGTGGGAGAAATGGCACTGTTTGTCTGTAGCCAATGCCTTGAACCTCGGCAAAAAAGGCATTAGAAGCATTAGAAAGTCAAGGTAAACTTGCGGTTAACTTGCGGTCTGCAATGCGTGTCACACTCGCGCACACAAGTAAATATATATGCACGTTCTTTCTCACAATCAGACACGCGTCAGACACAAGACGCGCGTACACAATGATGTACATATATTTATCAGAATCAGAATTTTTTTTTTAATACTTTTTTTTATTTTTTATAATGGGACACAGGGTTTGGTCCGGATTGATTTGCAGTTCGGTCCGGATCCGGACCTTGGTCCGGAGTTTGAGAAGCCCTGCTATAGCCCATCCTTTAGGAAAGTAACACACCCTATAGCCCATCCTTTAGGAAAGTAACACTACCCTATAGCCCATCCTTTAGGAAAGTAACACACCCTATAGGCCAGCCCATCCTTTAGGAAAGTAACACACCCTCCACCATTTTGATTGCTAGCTCTATCATATCGTATAGAGCTGAACCTGGAATCACAAAGTCTAGATGAGGTTTTAACCAAGACTCTTGCACACAAATGACATCTGGCAATGTTTGTAACTCATAGACATATTTTTTAAACTCCTGTCCATTAGCTATGAGGCTTCTAGCATTCCACTGGAGTATGTGAATTACCATTAGTAACGTGCTAACCCTCATCCTGATTGTCCGTTTCTCCCACTTCGTTTGTTGCTAGTAATTCATGTATCTGGTCTGCTTTTATATCTCTAATGTTAAGGAATGTCCCCGCAGCCTGCACTATGGTTTTGATTCTGTCACTTTTCTTCTTCAGCTGTGCTGCGACATTAATGGTATGGCAGATGAAGGCCATAAAATTGACTTTCTTTACCACGAGAATGCTATCATCTTCTTTATTTTCCACAGGTACTTGGCTTTGATTTGTAACCTGACTTTCTGTAATGTTTCCACTCTGTACTAAGTTTCTTTGAACCCTTCCACTAGGAGCCTGATTGTTTGCTTCCGTTTCCCTAACCTTCTTTAGAGCTTCTGCATATGACACTTTGCTGAGTACTTTGACCCTCTGAGCTTCTCTGGCTTCTCTCTGCACTACACATCCACCAAACGCCGCACTGTGCTCTCCTCCACAATTACAGCATTTCATCTTTGCCTCTTTCTCACATTTCCCATACTCATGCTGCCTCCACATCTCGCTCACCTTAGTTTTCCTTTACACTGCTTTGCTGTGTGTCCCATTCTTTGGCATGCATAGCATCTTAGTGGTTTTGGGATGAATTCCCTCACACTGTACTTCATGTATCCTATTTGCACAGATTTCGGTATATTTTTCTCAAACTGAATAACTACTGAAAGTGTTTCCTTCAATGTACCATCTCGTTTGCTCATAAGTCTGTTGGCCTCAATAACTTTTCCTCCTTTAATCTCCTTTTTAACATCCATAGTCATATTTAATGGGACTCCAGATATGACTCCTCTCAACATTGCCATTGCTCCTGGGATATGAGCCTTCATTTTTTCCCCACTGAGTGTCGTCATTTTAAGTATTTCTTCTTGCTGCTGCTTGCTGGTTGCTTGTATCAACACTCGTTTGTTGTTCATAAACTTGGCGAATTTGATTTGACCAATTTCTTTCTCAATTCATTTTGTCAGTTGTATCGGGTGGTAATGCCCACCATCCTGATTGAATTCTAATATAACTTTCCACTCAGTGGTTCAGTCTGTAGGGGATTGGACTTTGGACCGAAGGGTCGCTGGTTCACGTCCCGATCGGACCAAAAAATACGGAGTGTGGATACTGGAGAGGAGCCACTTCACCTCCTGGGCCACTGCCGAAGTGTCCTTGAGCAAGGCACCTAACCCCCAACTGCTCACTGGCGCCGGATAGACTGGCTGCCTCCGCTCTGACCTCTCAACTGTGTGTATTTGTATATGTATGTGCATGTGCATGATGTAAAAAGTGTGTACTGTGTGTACTGTATGTACCTGTATAAAAACGCATGTGTGTGTATGACAGAGTGGAAACTGAATTTCCCCCTCGGGGGATTAATAAAGGTCCATCTTCTTCATGGTCTAGTTCTTTATTCGAAGTTGCTTGGTTTTCATTTTGACTGACTTTTGATTTTTTGTTTAGGCTAACCTTGTCTACTCCACCCGACCAATCCGACCAACTTTGCGCTCTTGCTGAGCTATCTCTTTCTCTCAAAGACCTTTTCTTCCTCCCGGCTTTGGATACCTTCCATGCCATATCAGTTCTGTGGTTACCATATGAGCTGGTTGACATGATTATACAGTCAATGTACAGTTTATGCAAATCCGCCAAAATAACAGTCCAATGCTACCGTTTCTGTATGTTTTCGATGTTTTCCGATTCTCTCTGAGCTTTCTGCAACGTGTCTCCGACTTCACTTCCTTCTTCCGGTCCGACCTGGCGCCAGGTCCCTCCGACGTAAACTTGACGTATGACGCAGAGAAGGTGAGCGGATGGTTTCTGCATGTGTGGTTCCCACCGTGAAGCATGGAGGAGGAGGTGTGATGGTGGGGGGGGGGCTTTGCTGGTGACACTTAAGCAGCATGGCTAGTACCACAGCATTCTGCAGTAGCAGCAAAATGTAAATCATATTCTGGATTTTTTAACACTTTTTTGTTTTTTTGTTAGATAATTCCTATGTGTTATTTTATAGTTTTTTATGTGGAAAAAGTAAAAAAAAAAGTAAAAAAACTTCGAGTGAGGTGTGTCCAAACTTTTGACTGGTAGTGTATATACTTGTACTGTGTACTGAATTTCTCCCTAGGGGGATAAATAAAGGTTCATCTTCTTCTTCACTGGAATTTGATCTACAGTATCAGTTATGTTCTCTGTTTTTATTTAAAAATAATGTAACATAGCCAACGCAACTTCTTCTGGTCAGAATCTACATTAAACCCAAACTATTCATTTCAGCTTGACATAAAACAAAGACATGTTTTAAAAAAATGGCTAGATATGAATGTTTGGCTTTTATGTAGCGCTAAAACTAACAATTGTTATTGAAAACTATTCATTTCTCGATTGATCCATAATGATATAAACAGAGAAGCATCTCCATTTTAGAGGCTGAAAGCAGCATTTTCTGCAAATTCTGTAATTAAAACACTGATTTTTTGTTTCCATGCAAAGATGAATTCAGTCAATACTTCATTTCATTTGCCCTCAGTGTTTGTGTGTAATGCAGTAAATACATTCAGATACCACTTTTCTGGTGGCATACAAAAAAAGAATGTCATGCACAACTATAACAGTTCTCCTATGATTTGATAATAAAATACAACACAATATATTGCTTTGTTTTAAAGTAACTCAGTCACCTGTATAATAATACATATTCTATCTACAGATTATTTCTAACACAGCCCTGCTCAACTGTCTCCAACAATAGAGGTGGATGGTCACAAGGCCAATACAACTTAATGGAACTGGCAAAAAGAAATGGTGTTGATAGGTGTGAGTGGAAATGGCCATATGTGGAAATGGCCATATTAGTCTGGATTTCATTGTATTTACTATTGTCTATTCCCAGTTACTCAGTTTGACTTTGTATGTATTTAGGTTAAGGTATTTTTTATTATACGTTTCCTTTCTTTCACATCTATGTTTATTTTTATCCATCTACTGTGTATTTCACAGCTATAATTTATATGTAGTTACAATTACTGTTTATGGTATATTGTGTTTATTTATTTTCAGGGACAATGCAAATCGATCCACATAACTGTAAATGTGCCGGTGCAATCTATTTACTCACTTGCAAATGTTTTCCCTCAGACTCCCAACATGAACATGATAGGACAAAATCAAACTGAATTTTAACGTTATTCACATTATTTAAAAGTTAATTATTACAGTTTACATGTTCTGTTGTTTCCCTCAGCACTCTCCTGTGGTGCAGCTGAACGTGGGGGGGCACCTGTTCAGCACCGCTCTGAGCACGCTCCGTAAACACCCCGACTCCAGGCTGGCTGAGTTGTTCAGCTCTCCGCCCAAACTACGCTCCGACCCTCAGGGACGCTACTTCATCGACCGCGACGGGTCACACTTCGGAGCCGTCCTCGACTTCCTGAGATCCGCCTGCCTGCCAACACACAGCACCAAGGAGGTTGGGGGGTGTTCCATTCAGTGGGCTGCTTTCTGTAGGAACCCGGCTGCCACTGACGTATGTGTGTGTGTGTGTGTGTGTGTGTGTGTGTGTGTGTGTGTGTGTGTGTGTGTGTGTGTGTGTGTGTAGGTTCACAGGGAGGCGGTGTACTACAACATCAGACCCCTGGTGAAGCTCCTGGAGGAGAGCCCTCCTCTGTTTGGAGAGCTGGTGGGCCGGCAGCAGTTCCTCTCCAGAGTCCCTCACTACAGGGAGAACATCGAGGTCAGACACTCCTGCTCATCTTGTACATTGTAAAGCATAGTTCAAAATTTGCACCGCAACATCTCTTAACCTTCTTTTGTGTGCGGACTTTTTTGTGAGTACTTTAATTACTGCAGATACCTTAAACTACACATTAAGTGGATGCGAAAGAGTGGTAAAGAAAATAAATGAGAGCTCATGATAGCCTTGACATTATTCAGTCTATATTGGATTTGTTTTCTGGGAAAGTGTTTTGGTTGAAATTTGCCTACAAATACGTGAGATTGTTACCAAACAAGCTATTCTCTGATCAAAGGGAATTATGCCTCGAACGTTCCCATTTATTTTATCCATGATGGCACATTTTTTCTCAGTTGAGCCTTGCAAAAACGTGTGCATCATGACGTCAAACTCTTACTAGGAAGTAGAAACATGTAACCATAATAGAAATGTATTTGACGAATGATAAACATATTGTCACTGTTTCCCTCCAGGTGCTGATTCGTATCGCTAGAGCCGAGGCCATAGCCGCCCGCCAGTCCACCATCATGATATGCGTGCTGCGCACAGAGGAGGACTTGGGTCTCTATGACAACGCCATCAACAGCCTGGAGTCAAATAAGGAGTCGGTGGTGACGTTCGGACCCTGGAAGGCCGCGCTGTCCGTCAAAGACCTGCTGGACTGTGTGAAGCTGGACATCGAGAGTCAGGGCTACAGCGTGAGCATCCAGCGCCACGCGGTGGAGAGGAGCTTCCTGTCCTCCAGGAACTACGACTACTTCCACAAACTCATCTTCACCTGGTGGTGATGACAGGGGCTGCTTTCAGCTGCTTCTTAAGAAACTAGATTAAAAACAACAGACAGCAATTTGATATTTTACAATTTGGAATAGACCAAGTTAATCCAAGTAGTTCCTGTCAGGGAATAATTTCCATACATGTTTACCTTTCGCCCTCTGACGCAGATGCCCAGCCTTGGGCAGCATGCTATCTCCCATACGGAGGGGCTGCCCTAGCAAGTTGTTGTTGTTACCAGTTTATGGACGGGCAACTCTCGGTCAGAGATAGTTATTGTTGTGGGACACCTGGAACACATCCTTCTCAGGGTGTAGATGACCCCGAGCCATAAGCGACAACAAATGTGATTCAGTGTCCTCAGCTGTTTAGTCTATCTATTGAAGAATGTTGATTATTACACTCTGAACTAGTTCAAACCTGGAGCTACAGGAGGGCTCTTCAGAATTGATTGTGGCATCTCAACCGTGTGGTCAACTCGTGGCCCGTGACATGTCTTGTGAATTCTCCGGCCGAAGCTCCAAATAAACCGTCAGTGTTCGCCATCAAAGCTCCAGCTCTCCTCGTGTCTCTCTGAGTCCTGACTCCATCAAAGCTCCAGCTCGTGTCTCTGAGTCCTGAGTCCATCAAAGCTCCAGCTCGTGTCTCTCTGAGTCCTGACTCCATCAAAGCTCCAGCTCTCCTCGTGTCTCTCTGAGTCCTGACTCCATCAAAGCTCCAGCTCTCCTCGTGTCTCTCTGAGTCCTGACTCCATCAAAGCTCCAGCTCTCCTCGTGTCTCTCTGAGTCCTGACTCCATCAAAGCTCCAGCTCGTGTCTCTCTGAGTCCTGACTCCATCAAAGCTCCAGCTCGTGTCTCTCTTGCCCCTTTCACACCAACGCAACTCCGGTTCAAGCTCCGTGCTAGAGCTTTTCTGGTTCAGAACCGGTTCTTCGGTTTAGCGCCGGCTCTTTTCACACCGCTCAGAGCCCGACTGGTGCTGCCGCTGCTGCGTCATGACGTCACAGTTTACGTCGCTGAGTTTCTCCCCAACGCCGGAGCTCACCTCACAATAACAACGGGCCGGGGACTGCGTTGCTTTTAATCATACGAAGCCAGATTAAATTAAATAACGACTTCTCCAACCTTATACTTTTCTCCAGAGTGCCGTGGTTCATTGTTTATTAATGTGTTTCAGCGGCATTTACCGACCGCTGCAGTGCTGGCCGGCTGCTCTTCCACGAGTGTATTCTCCCGTTAGCTCCGGGTTAGCTCACACGGCTCTAAAGTATTCACTGTCTGACTGTCACACAAGCAGCTGATACATATCCCCAGTTCCCCTTAAGTGAATGTGTGTCAGTCTGAATTGACGCTGTTTGGTGTCAGTCTGAATTGACGCTGTTTGGCATCACAACGCTGTTATGAAAGTTTCTCTGGTATAACATGGGTGATGTTAGCATAGCAACCGAAGCTAAACTGACTACTTGCTAAGCAGTTTTCTACAGGCACTTTTTACCGACGTATTTTTCATTATGATTCTACTTGTGATAGTCGGACATGACAACCTGTGCAGCCCATGTATTGATTCCATCCGATAGCTGCTATAATAACAAACAAAACGTCTGCCTGCTCTCCACAATGATCAATAACAGCGAACGGATGGTCAAAGTAAGGTACAAATAAACAGAATCACACGAAGCCTGGTTAGTGTTGCCTGACTTTATAAAGTGTGTTTTTTTTAACAAGTGTGTGGTTGCGTTCTAGTCACTTTGCTCAGCACTACTGCTTGTTACAACTTTTATTTGCCGTACTCGCCTTAAGTGTTAGCTCAGGTTAATCTCGCCCCCCTCCGACGTAAGCGTGACGTATGCGGTTCTTGCTTCTAGACGGACAACTTTTTGGTGCTCGAAACGAACCGGATTCCGGAGCTATGACGCTGCTCCGCTGCGGTGTGAACAGGAAAACCCGGTGCTTTTCAAGCACCAGCACCGAACCGGCCCTGAAACACCGTTGGTGTGAAAGGGGTATCTGAGTCCTGACTCCCTATACTTTTAAAGTCTGGGAGCATGTTTAAGCCTCCATGTGAAAGGGTCGCTCAAGCACGTTTATATAGTCACTATTATCATTATGTAGTAAATGTTGATTGCACAATGTAATGGGTATAAAATAATGACACTTTCAGCTTTTTGATTGGTTCCTATCAGCCCCGCTTTCACTGTAATTCTGTCTGCCTCTGCGTTACGCTCTTTTTTTTTCTCTTTTTTTTACACTTTTATTGTCATTACACAGTAGGCCTACTTACTATGTAACGAAATTGTTTCTCTGCATTTGACCCATCCTAGTGTTCCATTCACATAAAAACTCCTACACTCATACACTGCACCAATGCTCCCAAAGAGTAGTTCGCTGAGAGGCAACTCACTGCTTATCCTCAGGTAGCAGAAAAAACGTAATATTAGCTGTGGAAAATAAACAGAGCCCTGTTGAGGAAAAAGAAGGCAAAGAGATAAAACATTATTTCTGATTGCATAAATCAAGTAACAAACCTGACTACTTATAAACACAACCAATGTACTCTGCCTTTAATCAGCACAGGATTGGGGTTTCTAGTTCTTCAGCATTCTAATGATGTTCCTTGCTTTCAACAGTATCGTTAGCCAAGCTGTTAGCGAGAGCCATGTTGAAAAGTACGAGATCAACTGGCAGAATATGTCTTATGAATGTATCTGTTGCACATTTAGTGCTGTCTTTTTGTTAAAACAAACACTTGATTTTAGCTGCTTTATTATTGTACTGTTTTGTATTTTAAACTTAAATAAAACAACTACCCAGTTATATTTCTTTTTCACTCACAAACTTTAAATCTGGTTGTTTATTTTGTGCATTGACCATCTACAGGGGTTGGACACATACACACACACACACACACACACACACACACACACACACACACACACACACACACACACTTCAAAGTAACAGCACTGCAATGGAAACGACTTTAGTGCAGTGGTGAAAAAGTGTCCAAACCATTAACTGAAGTACAACTGCAGAAGAATTGCTAACAACATGAAGCGCTTCAAACATATTACAGTAGTTGGTCGAGGTGGAGCTGCATCTCTTTTGTAGTCTAGTTTGTAACAATGGTTCATGTTTGGTTTGGCAGATCTTAACTTAAAACATAACTAGTGAATATACAGTAGATCTTAAACAAATGAAGCAAGAGTACAGTAAAGACAGCAACAGCTGACAAAATCTTTGCTGAGCCTAAAGATAATCATAAATAAATAACATAGTGAAAATAAATATATTATGCTCAAAACAGCAGCATCCAACCGTCTCTAATCCTTGGATATTACATGTCACTGCATGCATGCACGGGCCAGCTGTTGCGCGGAGATCATCATATCATATCATTCTGTCTTGTATTACAACAACAAAAACCGGCTCGTTCGCGGGCGCGAGTCGGCCTCCGTCGTTCACTCGTTCGCGACTGACACGTCACATCCATCCACGGTGGTTGTTTTAAGAAACATGAGGATTCCATGCTCTCCTCTAGTTTTTTTTTTAACAAGTCTGTGTTTTTCTTAAACGAGTATCCAAACAAACTAGGATCCAGTTAAACATCAACTACAAGGACAAAAGTAATAGGTTCACATTTGTCAACTTAACCTCAATATATGCAGCCTACATTTAAAAAAAGAAAAACCGCGTTTTGGTTTTACCTTTTGACCGTAGCTACGGAAAGTGAAAGGGGACAAATGTATGTAGCTAGCTGAAGCATAGCTTAGCGAACAATATTTCGCCGAACATGGCAGCACACCTGAAGAAGCGAGTTTATGAGGAGTTTTCCCATGTCGTACAGGTGAGCACAACGCCCCCCTCTGTAGTCTCTTATCCCAGAGACAGCTCTCTGAGAGCTAGCTAGCCTGTTAGCTAATGCTAAATGCTAACAGTCACTAACACAACAACGCAGGTCATCTGTGTAATGTTTGTACAAAATAAATATTATTTATAAACGAATTATACATGGTTGTTTGATGAGACAGTTAGTCGGGTAACGTTGGTATAACTACATCAACCTGTACTCTACTGAGTTACGATAGCAGCTGTTAGCAAACATGTTTTTAAGCATCACAAGTAAGAGTAGTGATGCAGTAAAATATTCGCTATTCTATAAATGATGGCTTACAATTAATGATAGTCCTGCATTAATCTACATGTTGTATTTAACTGGTGTATATGTTAATGGTTGGACTATTTCATAATCAGTACATTAAGTACAGTAAGGGTATGAACGATTCTAATCTGCAAGGTAACTAAAGTGTCAGATAAATATGATGTTATAAACAGTACAACACACCCCTCTGAGATGTACCGGAAAAGAAGTACAAAGTTGCATAAAATGGAATTATTTAACTACCTCGAGTTTGTTCTAAAATACAGAAGTAGAGTATTCACCAGTTTCACTCTTTCCACTTACTGCTTTTAGGTTCTTCAGGTTCTATGTATCACTGAAGTATTATATCGTTTTTCAGCTTGATACTTTACAGTTTATTTGGCATGATAATGTTAAGATAGCAAAAGTTTAATGCTGAAGAAATATTTTCTTAGGTTGGAGTGGTTTCAGTTTTGACTTTAAAGAGCTCCCTGTGATTTGAACCTGTGAATGTGTTGTCATCATCCTCTCTACAATCAATGAAAAATAAAGCCACGATTCAGTGTAGGTTGCACTCAATACAGTCTAAGAAAAATAAATAAAGTCACTGTTGGGGATCAAACCTCCATGTTTGTTAAATGTTCACATATGATGGAATAATTCTGAACTATTAGATCAGCTTGAAGGTTTTGTCTGAAAAAGAAAGAGATCCCACACCATGAGGTAAAACAATATCCCCCTGCTTTTGTAGACATTAGGGTTAGATACATTTTTGTTGTTTTATGTTAACAGATTCCCCATGAAGAGGCGCCGGCCAAGAAGCTGCGTCTGTCCAAACCCAGTAAGTCTGCAGCGCTGCACATCGACCTGTGTAAGGCCACCAACTCCACCGACGCCCTGCAGTACCTGCTGCAGTTTGCACGCAAGCCTGTGGAGGTGGAGAGCGTGGAGGGTGTGGTCCGGATCCTGTTGGAGCACTACTACAAGGTAAAGAACTGGGCTGATAACCAGGGGCATGTTTGAAATACTCATTACTTTATGGAGAGCTTTGTAAATAAAATCTCTGCAAATGGGTAATAAAGTAGCACAGTTAACAAGGTCTGACAGTTACATTCTCAATAAGTCTTAGCTAAGTTGTATAAAGAAAACACCTGATGCTGCTGATACCTTAGTTACTTGTGTCACTTGTTTTTTTATTTAATTGCTGCTACTCTTTTTTTAGCCATGGTTGTGTACTTATTTGTCTTCATTTAGATTGTATTACTAATGTCTGGTTTTCTTCTCTGTATATAATAAGTTCGATATTTCTTTCTTTATTGCATGTCATTTTTTTATATGCTAAATTTCCCCGCTGCGGGACTAATAAAGGAATTCTGATTCTGATGTCCCTCCCCAGGAGGCGGACAACTCTGTGAGGCTGAAGATCGCCTCTCTGCTGGGTCTGCTGTCCAAAACACAGGGCTTCAGCCCCGACTGCATCGTGGACGACGCCATTAACACACTCAACAATGAGAGTAAGATATTTATACACTCTGTCCGAACCTTGGATTTGGTACATAATTACACAAATGCACTTCTTCCCTTCAACAAGCCATATTTACACGTTATTAAAATGTGTATTTTGGAAAGAGTTGCTTGAAATGTATTCTCTGATTTTCCTCTTTTTCGCCCAGCACTGAATAAACAGTATTTGTTAAGAAAAGGCTATATTGTTTCTATACACTGTACAGGGCTTTGTGTTTTCACAGAATAATATAATATTTTTGAGAACAGCTCTAATATTTTCCCCTTTAAAATGTGTAATTAACGATGATAATACAACTTTTAAAAAAGAATAAATTAGTTACTTTTTTAATGACTTCTCTTAAAATAAGAAATTCAATCTGCGGAATAGCATCTTTTAACTTTTAACATCTAAAATAACTTAAATGTTATTAGGAATCTTTGGCCTCCCCATTGAAAAACATAACTGTGAGTAGTTAACAAAGTACGTGTTTGCTCCATCTGTTTCTCTGTCTGCAGAGTCCCATCAGGTCCTCGCCCAGCTGCTGGACACTCTGCTGGTCATTGGAACACAGCTGCCTGAGAGTCCTGCAGTCAGACAGAGGCTCATAGAGATGGCTTGCAAGGTGACACTCACTCACTCACTCACTCACTCACTCACTCACTCACTCACTCACTCACTCACTCACTCACTCACTCACTCACTCACTCACTCACTCACTCACTCACTCACTCACTCACTCACTCACTCACTCACTCACTCACTCACTCACATACATAGAGTTTACTACAGTACTTACAATTAAGTCTTCCTTACCGACTCAACAGGACATTCTGGAGAAGGCAGCAAAACTCTTTATGTGTTTCTTTTCTCTGTCCTCCTCTCAGCACCTGTCTGATACGTATTTTGGGGTCAGGAACAAGTGTCTAAAGCTCCTTGGATGTCTCGGCATGATGGACACTTCATTGACCAAAGACAGCGAGGGACAGGGCACATCATCAGGTTTGTGCTGTCGCTCAGTATATTTAGACGACTTGGCTGTCACTGTTGGACGTAATGATGATGTCGTATTTTACTTATCAAACTTATCATAGGCAGTGTAGGTAGTCTACATAACTGCCGGCAGCAAGCTCTACTTTTGGAAAAGTAGACACAAGTTAGCGCACAGAAGCAAAGTGATGTGCTGCTGTGGAGGGGGGCAGCCGCACAGTGTAAGATATCCACCTAAAACAAAGCCCCACTTAAAAAATGTATATCAATGCCCCGGCCCGCATTAATAATATGCTGGCCCACCTGCCTGCATGCACTCTGCCTGTTCAGTGCACGTGACAGGAGTCTTTCACAAGCTGCTAACTTATCAGTTATAAGCACTAATAATAGCATTATGTTTGGAGCTGGTGCAGCTAGCTACTTTAATTGGAATTGGGTTTGCAACATTAGGCTGTTTTTTTTCAGTTGGATCATTTTCAAAATCAAGTTTACTCTTGGTGGCTTCTGCAAAGTTTATCTCCCTAAACTTTAACTGTTTTTGAAACAGTGCCTCCAATTTACTAGGGTGTTAAATTCACATTTGTCGGGCATGATTGTTCTGTGTGAGTTTTTGTGTGATCTGTTATGATGTTCCTGCTGTGTGATTGTACATGTTTGCTCCAGGAGGAGCGAGGGAAGTCCAGAGTCTCATCAGTGATTACTTTGGAGACCAGGAGCCCAGAGTCCGCACGGCAGCCCTCAAAGCTATGGTAGGACACTGCCAACACCAGAACCTTAACACACAAAATGCAAATAGAATCAGCAGTAACAAAGCACTGTGTGTTTGCTCTCCAGCTGCAGCTGCACGAGAGAGGAATAAAGATTCATGAGATCATTTATGACCAGGTAACAGCCCCATCTGTACTCAAACCGGCTAGAATAACGAAAAGAACACCTTCCTCACAGGGAGCATGTTATGTGTATGTGTGTGTGTGTGTGTGTGTGTGTGTGTGTGTGTGTGTGTGTGTGTGTGTGTGTGTGTGTGTGTGTGTGTGTGTGTGTGTGTGTGTGTGTGTGTGTGTGTGTGTGTGTGTGTGTGTGTGTGTGTGTGTGTGTGTGTGTGTGTGTGTGTGTGTGTGTGTGTGTGTGTGTGTGTGTGTGTGTGTGTGTGTGTGTGTGTGTGTGTGTGTGTGTGTGTGTGTGTGTGTGTTGTGTGTGTGTGTGTGTGTGTGTGTGTGTGTGTGTGTGTGTGTGTGTGTGTGTGTGTGTGTGTGTGTGTGTGTGTGTGTGTGTGTGTGTGTGTGTGTAGGCTTGCAGGTTGCTGTCAGATGATTATGAGCAGGTGCGCTCTGCAGCGGTGCAGATAGTTTGGGTGCTCAGCCAGCTGTACCCAGAAAGGTGAGAAGATGCTGATACTCATCCTTTAAGAAAAAAAATTGCCTGAATGAGATTCAACAAGCCATTTAGATTTTGCTCCCTTCTTAAGTCACATGCAGGTTCACTACAATACACTGCCCCCGCCCCCCCCTAAGGGAGCTTACAAAGACAGAGATATTCAGGAAGAGGGTGATACACGTATAAAAGGTGTACAAATGTTCTAGTAGAAATTTGAAATAATTGTATGAACCTGAACATTAGCATTACCTTTAATCAGAAGTCAGAAACTCAGAGCGTCTTTTGAAAGATAAATCAATTGTGTGACATTCTTCATATGCCATTACCTGACATTTCCCATGATGCCACTGTTTTGTTATGGTGATGGCTGGTATTTTGATTTAGTTAGTTAGCTACTTGAACCCTGAAGGGTAGCGAAAATAAGTGTCTTTACTTTTTTTATTTGCTATACCCGTTATAGTGGCCTTGCCTGACTTCTAGTTCACCGTTTGTTTTCTTTCCAATCAGCATTGTTCCTATCCCTTCATCCAATGAGGAGATCCGACTTGTTGATGATGCGTTTGGAAAGATCAGTCACATGATCAGTGACGGCTCCTGGATGGTCCGGGTGCAGGCCGCCAAAACACTGGTGAGAGGGATCAGAGAGTGTTCACAGCTGTTTCCACCTCCAGAAGAGAGAGAGAAATGGACACAAAAAATGACTGATTTTACGTTCTAGCATGTCTGGCTCATTTTAAAGCAGTTTGTCAAGAGAGTCCAATTAAGAGTTGCACTTTATTATAGTGAAGTCATATCAGAACCGTCCCTTAACATAAAGGTCATTATAGCACCTCAACGGGTCAGACATTCATAACGTTTTCCTAACACTTCCAAGTGAATCACAGCACAACATTAAATACACAGTCACATTTTAAAATGTAGGATTACAAAATGGGTTGCAAGTGGCCCTTAAAATATTAAAATGTTTAAAAAAAAAATAGAAATACATATTATCTAAGAATATGGAACTCTGAGGAACGCAAATTATTCTTGGACCTTATGTTGAAGACCCATGCTTTAACTTATGTAAGGTACCATATCTGTAAAGGAAAATGTCTTGTGTCTCAGGGCTCTATGCTGCAAGTTAGTCCTCACTTTCTGGAGCAGACTTTGGATAAGAAGCTGATGTCAGATCTAAGGGTGAGAATACAAAAAAGAAATCTACAATATATCTGCCTGTGAGTAGGATAAGCACTTCTAATATTGTTAATTAGCACACCTCCCCTCACTCTTCTTTTCTGTGTCCAGAGGAAGCGTACGGCCCATGAACGAGCCAAAGAGCTCTTTACTTCTGGAGAGTTCTCCTCTGGCAGGAAGTGGGCCGACGACGCCCCCAAGGAGAGACTGGACACAAACACTGTGAACCTGATCGCCTCGGGGGCCTGCGGGGCCTTCGTCCACGGCCTGGAAGACGAGATGTTTGGTACGTAAAACATGGTGCAGCATGTCTGTGTTTCTCAACAAAGAATATCAGAGCTGATGTAAACAGAGCCTGAACAAAAGGTGTTCAGCCCGCTCCAACTCAGGATGCTACTCATGACCAATGCTGATATTTAATCATGATTACGTTGAATTATTGTCAAGTAAGTAACACAAGATGGAGTTATCTCAAACCGCTTAAGTTATTTTCTTTAAATAATTTAGAATTCAAACTCTAAATATGTTTTCATGTACCCCTGAAAGAGAGACTTTTGGGTAAGGTGTTTAACCTGTTAAGCCGGAGAGACCCCGGTACCGGGGTACTGCCGCAACATCTTGCAGGAAACAGTGTCTGAGGGCATGTTCATTTAATAAAACTATGAATGTTTTATATCCATGTAACGGGAAGAAACTCATCTAACTGATCATTTTAATTTATTTTTCAAAAGAAAACCCACAATGCTAACACTGAGCCTCTGAATTAGCAACGAGCGAAAAATGCTAACACCTTACTGCACCGAAAATCACTCACAAAACCTTATTATTTATCTTTTCACCACATCTAACACATCGATTCACATCGTGAGGTGACACAGAATCGATTGACACCGACATTACCACTGAATTATACGTATTTGCGACATTATAAGCAAAAACGGACATCAAAACAGGTGACGCTAGGTAGCTAAAAATGCTAACATTTTTACCTTGGCTCTGTAGTCTCTCCAAAGTGGTCTTCAATGGCATTAAAACGATAAAAACGCTGCTGAAGTTAATCCATAGGTTAATCTAATGTGTCTGTGTCCTCTTTGAAATGATTTCTGATAATCCATAAGCATTAAAACTGCTTTTCCGTTTCCAGAGTTCAAAGCTAGAGATAGGTCCACTCTGATGCAAAACTGCATGCGTGAAGCCCCCACCTTTTCTCTTCACAACGTGTGTGTGGGACTCCCCCTTCGATTCTATTGGCTCTAACGGTCAGAAAGAGGTGTCAACCATCAAAATCGAGCAAGGGGGGCCAGAGATATGGAAAATCCACCCAAATGACCCCAGAAGTGGTTTCTTTTTGCTAAATCTCTCTAAAAAGGTCAAATGTCACTTGTTTTGCATCAATCTTGATACAGGGTACTTATTATATGTTGTACTTTGGATTCCTAAAGCTTTTAGTCTACCTTACCATCATCCAAGGGTAGTTTTCACTATAAGTAAAAAATAATATTTGGACGGACACTATAATTTACAGTTTTTTACGATGTAAAATCTGAATTTTCTTTAAAATAAAAAACATCTATATTGATTCTGACTTTTGAGTTTTTACTTTGAGAAAAAAGATTATTAATTTAACCCTTTTAGAAGGGAAGATATGGTCATTTGTTCTGGGAATGTCATTTTTGAGCCTGAGACCTGAAAAACAGGCTCAGGGCTTAACAGGTTAAGGCGTTTTATCACATGGTATGTTTGGCATGATTTAACAGTGTAACGTGTAAGAAAGTCAAATAATATCTTCTCCATCTTTCCTCTTTGCTATCCTTCCTCTCTTCTACTCAGGATTAGTTTTGTTCTCTTGTTGATATTCATGTAAAGCCCTTTGCTTTTCCCACCGTGTTTTCTCCATCTTCATATTCCTTCAGAGGTGCGTATTGCGGCGGTGGAGGCGTTGAGTCAGCTGGCTCGCTCTTCTGCCAGCTTTGCAGAAAAGTGTCTGGACTTCCTGGTGGACATGTTCAACGACGAGATCGAGGAAGTGAGGCTGCAGTCCATCCACGTGCTGAGAGAGATCTCCACCCATATCACCCTCAGAGAGGACCAGCTGGACACTGTACTAGCTGTGTTGGAGGTAACACACACACACACACACACACACACACACACACACACACACACACACACACACACACACACACACACACACACACACACACACACACACACACACACACACACACACACACACACACACACACACACACACACGTCAGACAATCCATCGCCCTGCCCTGAAATATGTTTTTGTCTTAATCAAGTATTTTGTGGGGAGTTATGAACAACACTTGTTATGCATGCCTGATATAGTCACGTATTGATGAGGTCACTGTGTGTGCAGGACTCGTCTCGTGACATCAGAGAGGCTCTGCATGAATTAATCTGTTACACCAACGTCTCCACCAAAGAGTGTGTTCAGCTGGCTCTGCTGGAGCTGCTCAAGAACCTCAACAAGTATCCCACTGACCGCAACTCTGTCTGGAAGTAAGTGTGTGTCTGTGTGTGTATTCTGCAATCATTATGAGCAGTGACGGTTGTTAACGGTCTCTAAAAAGAAAACATTATGGATGTTCATGTTCAGGATTATACCTAGGTGCATCCTGCGGGACCCTGGTGGCCTTAGGGGACAGGCCGAGGGTTTAGATAGATTTAGATTTATTATGTCATTGTACAATTTTAAAACTGTCCATTTACACTTCAGTTTACATTGAAGTTCATATATATATCCTTTGTTTAACCAGGTAAAAGTCTCATTGAGATTAAAATCTCTTTCTTAAGAGCGACCAATGGGAAAGTCTGCGTGCAGAGAAAGATGGCCAATTAGCAGCAGCATACAAAGTGCAGTGGTGTACACTAGGGCTGTGCATCTTCACTGGTCTCACGATTCGATTATGATTATCCTGTCAACGATTCGATTCAATTCGATATCCCGATGCATCACGATTCATACCAATGCGTTGCATCCTCAATTTTCTATATTACTGCACATGGCTTATTTTTCATCAATGAATACATGCAGTAAGATAAATATGAACTCTCTTTTTATTATTTAGAAAGTGCTTCAGAAATCAATAACATAAATGTCTTGACATTAATTTATAAACCAAAATAAATGAATTGTATAGCTCTAGCATGCCTACAGTATCTGTCTGTGAAATTGTTCCATCCTCAAAAACAAAAAACTAATACTTCTGCAGTCTAGCTGCAGCTTCTAGCAACGGTCTTCTGTTAAAAAAAGGACACTGAATGTCCTGAATGTGGCATCACACACAGGACTTGAGTCTGAACACAGCAGACAACAGGAGTATTTACAACAGCATATCAAAAATAGTGCATGTGGGTGCACACTTACATTCTCTGTCTTACTGTTACATAAATCCCATGATTGTATGAGATTAAGTTAGCTTCATTATATCTCAATCAGTGATTAAGTGAATAATAAAGTTTCTATCGGGTCACTATCAGCCTGTCACTCATTATTTTCAGGGAGGGGGCGGGGTTTGGAGGAACGGAGAGGAGACGGTGATCGCGGAAGCTTTCCTCCTGCCTTCACAAACTTTACACGCGTATATATCGTCTGAAAATAGCAAGAGGACATTCATACTCTGCAATCCAAGACTTAATTAAATCCACCAAAAACCTGACATGATTGTAACGCGAGTATATTTGAAAAACATAAATCCTTGTGTGTCTGAGCCGCAGCGACACGGACTGATTCAGAGCGGGTCCTTCTGCTGTTGGTTCTGGACTGGTGTTCTTGTGTTGGTGGATAAAGCAGACTGCTCCGTGTTTGGTGTTGCTGTGCCGCTGTCACGTCTGTTCCCTGATCTCTGCGTCACCGACCGATTTGATATTAAAGTGACAGAAAAAAAAAACGTTATAGTAAAGCTGCGGCCGGAAAATCAGGATGCAACGTTACTACGCTATAATCGATTATCTTCCGTCACTGCATCGATACCGAATCGTCCACGTCCGCATCGCAATGCATCGTAGAAACGATTATTTTCAACACCCCTAGTGTACACGATAACCACATCCAGTAACAAAACGTAATGCACGGTGGTACACAGTATCCAGACTCTTTAGTCACCGGTCAGAGGCACTCATGTAAAGCAGACAGTTCAGACATATTATACAAATTATTATTGTAAAAAAGAAACAACAATAAACATTGATGTCAACATTATAAAACCCTGGTAAATATTCCCGTTTGCTGCAGATTGGTGACACGAATGTTTAGGGCTGCATTTTCTGGCAGAGAAGTAACTGTACATAAAGCAAAAATAAATGTTAATAAGGGTTGATCATTAGCACCCAAATACCGCTACCACTTATGTAACGTTATGAAACAATGTCATACATTCAAACTTCCTTTTCAACATGAAAAAACGTCTTGGGAACAGTTGGTTTAAGATTTTCATAACAAATGGTACTTTAAGAGAGAGAGGCTATGAGATGACTGACGACTATTCTTTTTTTTTTCTCCCTTCTCCTCAGGTGTCTGAAGTTCCTGGGTTCCCGTCACCCAACGCTGGTGTTGCCGCTGGTTCCTGAACTGCTCAGCACACATCCGTACTTTGACACCCCCGAGCCGGACATGGATGACCCGGCCTGTATCCTTCACACACCTCAAGCTCTCCCAGCATGAGGACGAGAACGTGTCATCGACACTCTGCTGCCGACACTCAACTCTCAGAGAAATGTATCAGTACTATAATAAGAAACACATGGACAAAACTAAGAGTGTAAGCGAGTTATTACATTAACTGTCTCCTGCTGTGTTTTATCAACAGAATAGAACAAGATAAACTGTGATCAAACAGACACATGGGACTTTACCAAGACTGCCATTTAAATATTCAGAAAAAAACAAACCTTGACATGAGTTGTGTAGCATTAACACAACACACTTTTCCTCAAACTGCTGATATTTGTTCTTTCTAACAGCAGGCGGACCTGTGAGCTGTTTTCTTTCCTAACTCTAGCTGTTCTCAGACATCGCGGTGCTGGTGTTGGTTTTCAACGCGGCCAAGTCGTGTCCCACCATGCCGGCGCTGTTCTCCGACCACACCTTCAGACACTACGCCTACCTGAGGGACAGTCTGTCTCACCTCGTACCCCCCCTGCGGGTGAGAACTGAAACAAATGGTATTACTATTGTCCAGGTCAACAAGAAAACACACACTCACGTCTCCTGTAACTGTCTTTCAGTTGCCAGGCAACGGCCTGGACTTGGTGGACTCTCGCTGTGGTTCAGGTTCTGTGGAGTCAGCTCAGCTCTTCCTTCAACAGAGTCTGAACAGGGTCAGCACCATCCAGAACCTGGAAGCCCCCGGAGCCCAGGACCTGCTCAACTTTACCATAAGGTACACACACACACACACACACACACACACACACACACGCACACACACGCACACACCACACATGGTCCGGCAGTGGCTCAGTCAGTACGGGCTTGGACTGAGCCGTAGGGTCGCCGGTTCAAGTCCCCGAACAGACCTAAATATGGAGTGTGGACTGGTATTTGGAGAGGTCCCAAGTGGTGCCCTTGAGCAAGGCACCGGACACTCCCCATTGCTCCCCATAATTTTCACTTTGTAACATTTCCTTATGGAGCAGCTACAGAGCTGTCTCACGTTTTATGTTGTCCTTTCAAGACATTCTCAATAACCTATCAAGTCCTGTGTTTAATGCTATTTCCCCTTGTTGTTTAAATTGTATTTTTGGTAAGGCTGTTTGATATTTTTCACTGTGAGCTGTGTTTGCAGCACAATAATATACTTTAAATATACAGTGTGTAAACACACATACTAAATGTGATTGATATTTAATTCCACAATGAATTGATACAGAATGTATTCTGCCCACCACAAGAAAAAAAACAGCACTTTAAACAAAGTTTGGCATTTGTTTTGTCCCATGTAAGATGTGTTTATTTAGAAAAATGCTAAATGTTTGGTGAATTTGTGTTGTGTATGTCAGAGACCTGCAGCGGCTGGGGGAGCTGCAGACGGAGCTCGCTGGAGCGGCCGACTTCTGCGCCACATACCTGCGCTGCCAGCTGCTGCTCATGAAGGTGTGTGTGGTTATGTCTATTACACTATAATTCCATTTGTGAAGACTGATGCTACTTGAAATTGGGGGGTCATAACATCAATTGAATGCAACATTATGCAGTTAATGGCATTTTGGGGTTTTAGCAGCCCTATTTTGTCAGAATTTGTTTCCCTTATAACTGGTCCCAAATATGGACGGCGATAATGTCATATGTGCATTTGTTATGGTTACATTTTATAAAAAAACTAGTGCGAGTCAACAGCTTTGACAAAGAAATACACAGCTCATATTACCAACCAGTCCATCTGCTACCAGGCCATTGTGTCCATGCTGTCTGCTCTCTGCCAGCATTCTCCCGGCTCTGAACCGTTTGGTGATGTTGCCGTGGGAAACAGGATGCTGCTTTCAGGACCTTGATGTCTGTGCTTTATGTGACCAGGCTCTGCAGGAGAAGCTGTGGAACATGGCTGTCCCTCTCTGCCTCAAACAGAACGTCACAGCCACCGCTGCAGCTCAACAGGTCAGCACACTCACTCACTCACTCACTCACTCACTCACTCACTCACTCACTCACTCACTCACTCACACTGGTCTGACATCACCTGAGATGGTTGAATGTGTGTTTGTGTTTCAGATCTTAGAGGAAACCTACAAGCTGGAGTTCCTGTACAGCGGTCTGGAGAGCAGGCAGGTGGCCACCATCCATCATGTCCGCCTGCAGGCCAAAGCTCTGCAGCTTATCCTCACTGCTCGCTCTAGGCAGGGGTCAGTACACACACACACTCATCACATCAATGTAATACTTAATGTGGACCACATACGTATTCATATAAATCTTATTTTATCATTTCTCTTCAGGTTGGATCCTCTCATCAGCAGCTGTGAGAAGTTTCTGCAGGACATTGTGTCATTTCAGAAGTAAGATCTTCATATATCTGGGTTTGTCTTTCAAACTCTTAACCTGTTAAGCCCGAGAGACCCCGGTACCGGGGCACTGCCGCAACATCTTGCAGGAAACAGTGTCTGAGGGCATGTTCATTTAATAAACTATGAATGTTTTATATCCATGTAACGGGAAGAAACTCATCTAACTGATCATTTTTTTTTTTTTTTCAAAAGAAAACCCACAATGCTAACACTGAGCCTCTGAATTAGCAACGAGCGAAAAATGCTAACACCTTACTGCACCGAAAATCACTCACAAAACCTTATTATTTATCTCTTCTCCACATCCAACACATCGTTTCACATCGTGAGGTGACACAGAATCGATGGGTACCCTCATTATCACTGAATTATACGTATTTGCGACATTATAAGCAAAAACGGACATCAAAACAGGTGACGCTAGGTAGCTAAAAATGCTAACATTTTTACCTTGGCTCTGTAGTCTCTCCAAAGTGGTCTTCAATGGCATTAAAACGATAAAAACGCTGCTGAAGTTAATCCATAGGTTAATCTAATGTGTCTGTGTCCCTTTGAAATGATTTCTGATAATCCATAAGCATTAAAACTGCTTTTCCGTTTCCAGATGTCAAAGCTAGAAATAGTTTCACTCTGATGCAAAACTGCATGCGCGAAGCCCCCACCTTTTTTTCACAATGAGTGTGTGTGGGGGACTCCCCCTTCGATTCTATTGGCTCTAACGGTCAGAAAGAGGTGTCAACCATCAAAATCGAGCAAGGGCGGCCAGAGATATGGAAAATCCACCCAAATGACCCCAGAAGTGGTTTATTTTTGCTAAATCTTGCCGTATTTAGCACTCAGAGCCCCGGCACTTATTACCCCAGGGCATTTAGTACAGATCGCGTTCACACCGGAGTACTTTTCCCTGAGGGAAGATTACGCAAATGAGCCGCTGACGTCACTTCGTCTCCTTCTGCTTTGGGTTTACTGGCAGGCAGCAAACAACTTCACGGCGTATACTGCCACCCGGAGTCCCCGGCCGGTGTCAGTACCATATGTGTTCGCCCTACCATATGTGTTCGGGGTCCGTCGCTTACCAATGACGTCACCCATTGTGATTGGCTGTACGGAATCGTAGTAATCAGCAGCGAACCGCTTCAACACGTGTATTTCAGTGTATTCACGGCATTCATTTTGTTATTCTACAGTATTATTGTTTTATAGTTATTTGTTAATGTAACCCAATTTGTGTTCTTTGAAATTGAAAAGGATATCGCATTGTGTTTGTTACATTCGTTGCAGTTGTATAGGCTATGTGTTAAGTGTAATTTGGCATGTCCTATTTATGGACATGCTTTTATTTTGAAGGAGAGTTAGCGCAGTTGACAGGAAGTTGTTGTTGCTTTGGAAACAACGTGACAGAGATTAACGGAGAAAAGTAATATCTACATATAAAGACGGAGAAAGTAAACGATAACGTTTATGGTTAAGTGTTAGCACCCCCCGAAGAGGCACAAGCTCTTACGTTGATATTGGAGATTTCAATAAATTCAATTTGAAAAAAAAACGGGGAAAAAAAACAAAAACGAATATCTGAATAACGAAATTGAAACCCGAATAGTACTCCAACGAACGAATATTCGGATATTTTGGTACAGTAGGGCTGTACCCGAATAATATAATAAAGTTATAGTAAATAATAACAAATTCCAGTGTTAGAATTCCATAATTCCATATTCATAAATAAAATGATATGCAAATAACATTTTCTTGGCTGTGGACTTGTACTCTACATAATTATGTTGAGCTCATGGTAATCTAATTCAATAAACAATAACTGCAATGAACAGATAGCATTTTCTGACTCGTAAAATGATTGGATATGGTGTAATTTGGCAAATGATTCTGTGTTGAAAAATGTATATCTTTAAAAACTGCGTTGGTGTATTAGGGCGGGCCATACTAATTTTTCTTGTAAATCGATCGAGAGGGGTGTTCAAATAACGTATTTTGGTGTGTAGAACACAAATCTATTTAGATGCTTTTATTTTGAAGTTGTTGCTATGGAAACAACATGACGGAGAAAAAAGTAATATCTTCTACATATAATAACGGACAAAGTAAAGAATGAAGTGTATGTTTAAATGTTAGCACCCCCCCGAAGAGGCTCAAGCTCTTACGTTGAGTCTGGAGTTTCAATACATTCGGAATTTGACCGTGTAAAATGTCCTCTTGGGTTACCGTACAGCCAATGCGTGACGTCATTGGTAAGCGTAACGGACCCCGAACACATCTGGTAGGCCGAACACATATGGTACCTACACCGGAAGTCCCCGGAGTTGGGGACTGGCTTCAGTAGAAGCTGCTGGGACTCCCAGCAGCTTCTACTGAAGCCTTCAGAGTAAATCGCCAGAGCGCCGACACCTCCTCATCTCCACCGCTCCCATGTTTTGTTTTGTGTTGCCATAAGTTAGTCTCTCTGCGTTTGTGCGCTGGGCTAATGCTAATGCGAGGATAATACAATGGCGGCTCTACAAAACATTTCAGAGTTGTACGAGGCGTGGTTTGCAATTCGCCCAGCCAACCAGAACTGGGGCACTTTATTCCCCCAGGAAAGTACCATCTCTCAGCAGGCACTAAAAATGGGGGTAAAAGTTCCCGAGATGAAGTGCTCTTTTTGGTGTGAACGCGACATAAGGGGTACTAACGGAACTAAACGCGAAAAGTACGGTGAAAAGTACTCCGGTGTGAACGCGGCTAATGTCTCTGAGCCGCAGCGACACGGAGTGATTCAGAGCGGGTCCTTCTGCTGTTGGTTCTGTACTGGTGTTCTTGTGTTGGTGGATAAAGCAGACTGCTCCGTGTTTGGTGTTGCTGTCACGTCTGTTCCCTGATCTCTGCGTCACCGACCGATTTGATATTAAAGTGACAGAAAAAAAAACGTTATAGTAAAGCCGCGGCCGGAAAATCAGGAAGCAACGTTACTACACTATAATCGATTATCTTCCGTCACTGCATCGATACCGAATCGTCCACGTCCGCATCGTAGAAACGATTATTTTCAACACCCCTAGCGTCCACACAGCAGCGTTAAAAAAATCTTGGAGGTGGGCGTATCTGAAGCTTGGGGATTTTTTGCGAGCAAGGCACCAACAACCAATCACATGAATCTCCCGCCCCCGACATACGAAGCAAAAATATGGAATATGAGGAAATGACCTGCGGTATGTCTCTCCCAGCATACACGCGGTTTGATTGGCTAGCGCTTGAACTGTCAGATTTGCATACACGGGATTTGATTGGCTGACGCTTCCACCTCAGCTTCAAAAGTTGAACATTGCTCAACTTTTGAATCCTGAAAATCCTGAAAATCTCCGCTCTGCTTCCCACAATGCAGTTCGGCGAAAAGTGAGGCAAAGTGACGTCACCCCATTCAAAGTGAATGGGCAGAACCGCTCCAAGATTTTTTTAACGCTGCTGTGTGGACGGTCCGTTACTGTTTCTCCTATTTTCTGTGTTGATCAGGCTGTTTCTGGCAGAGCTGCCCTACCTGCAGGACAGTTTTGTGGATCAGCTGTTGGAGCTGCTGCCCCGGCTGTCGTCCTGTAAGCCGGTGGAGCTGGTGAGGATCCTGCAGAGCACCCTGAGGCAGAGCGGCCTGCTGCAGCTCCCCCTGCCGGAGCAGGTACACTGAGCAGTCTGTCATGAAGTTTGATAAGCAAATAGCTTTTTCCTATTAATGAAATCTCCCCCCGCTGGCCGACAGATCCACCGGGCGACAGCCACCATCATTGAGCCCACGGGAGAGTCTGACAACCCGCTGAAGTTCACCACCGGCCTGGTGGTGGCCCTGGACATCGATGCAACTCTGGAGCACGTCCAGGACCCCCAGAACACGGTGAAAGTGCAGGTCAGTTCATAGTTCTCACTTGAGCTTGTGGGCTTTTGTCATCTTCAAAAATCTGGTCTTCAGTGATCTTAACGAGCACTTTCTGCTACCTGCACCTTTAAATGTACAATATATTGAACCTTTCTCATATATCTGTATATATGTACATTCACCTGATCAGAGTTTAACACATTTCAATGTTGTTGTTTCTCTTCATACTGTTAATACATGTGTATTCCTCTATTTATCTTTATTTTATTCTTAATATCCCTGTGTGTATTCTCATGTGTACTCTGTGTTTCTCTTTATTCTGTTGCTGCTGTAACACCTGCATTTCCTTTGGGGATCAATAAAGGTCCATCTTATCTTGCCTTTTATAGACTGTAACAAGCTGTTAGATATTGGAGGTGTCTAAGGTAAATGGTAGTGGGTCATTGCTTCTGAGTTTGTAACAGTGATTTAGAACCAATGATGTACAGCTCTGTTGGTTCAAGGATCTGACATTTAGAGCCGCCTGGGATTGGTGGTTCCTGGTCACATGACAGACGTAAAACTGCTGGTTGGATGAACTGCTTGTGTGTGCAGGTTCTGTATCCAGACGGCCAGAGTCATGTGATCCATCCTAAACCTGGAGACTTCAGGAAGCCGGGCCCCGACAGACACAGACTGATCACTCAGGTGTACCTGTCCCACAGCGCCTGGACAGGTCAGACACACAGCTCAGCCTCTGTTCACCTGGCATTTAAAGAGTTTCTTACTTGAAATAGATGTGTTAAGATTAAGACTGCCTCATGAATCAGGCACATGTCTGCATCAAAGCACAGCCATTGATCCTACTCAAATGTTGCTTATAAATGTGCTGTCCTAACAGCTAATGTTCTCTGTTCCTGCTCTCCTGTGTGAAGCCTCTGACTGCTGGATACTCTCTCCACGCATTAGCAGCAATCAGAGGTGGAACATGTCTCTTACTTATTTTTTACTTAGATACAATATTAAAGTCCTATAAAATGTTACTCAAGTGGAGTAAAAGTAGCAAAAAATGTAGATCTCAAAATTGTACTTAAGTACAGTACTTGAGTAAATGTACTTAGTTACTTTCCACCCTGGAAGCAATGCTACTTTCACCTAGCTAAAAGCAAAACATATAAAGTTACTTTTGTTGAAAACAGTGATTCTCAAGAGTATAATGTTTAAACTTGCTATTCTTCATCAGTGTGTTCAGTGTGACTTCATCTTGTCCTCCTCTCCCTCAGAGCCGTCTCAGATCGAGGTGCGCCTCCTGCTGGCCTACAGCTCCTCCTCCACCTCCCTCTCCTCCTCCAGCTCCCTCTCCTCCTCTCCGGCCTCCAGGCTGGGATGGAGCGACAGCATCGACGGCCTCCCCCCCCCAGAGCTCGCCGTAGAGGGAACCATTCCGTTCAGCAAGCCCGTCAAAGTCCTCATCATGCCCAAACCAGCCCGGCGCTGACACGAGTCAACTGAGAACACACACAGAGACACACACAGAACACACACAGAGACACACACAGAACACACACACACACACAGAACACACACACACACAGAACATACACAGAGACACACACAGAACACAGACACACACACACACACAGAAAATACACAGAACATACACAGACACACACAGAACAGACACACACACACAGAACATACACAGAGACACACACAGAACACAGACACACACACACACACACACACGGCTTCAACTCTTTTCAGATTTGGCGAGCAAGAGGCACCTGACAAGAGGATTCTAGCTGCTTCACTCACTAAATTCAAACCTGTACCAGAAAATGTTTTGGCTTCTTTTAGAATTTGTGCACTTTTAAAAATAATTCCTGATGAAGTATGAGGAAGCACAAGAGTAGTAATGGTGTCATTTGTTTTGGAAATATTTTTGTACTCAACAATTGTTTCTGATAAAGACAAAGAACTGTGTTGGAGATGATTCATGTTTCAATTGAATGTTGTGTTGCATTTAGTCAATTTGATCTAAAAGACAAATCTGGAGTTATAAGAATACATTGGACATTTATTTGTCTCAATCAGTCTGTTAAGCTGAGGTGTGTGTGTGTGTGTGTGTGTGTGTGTGTGTGTGTGTGTGTGTGTGTGTGTGTGTGTGTGTGTGTGTGTGTGTGTGTGTGTGTGTGTGTGTGTGTGTGTGTGTGTGTGTGTGTGTGTGTGTGTGTGTGTGTGTGTGTGTGTGTGTGTGTGTGTGTGTGTGTGTGTGTGTGTGTGTGTGTGTGTGTGTGTGTGTGTGTGTGTGTGTGTGTGTGTGTGTGTGTGTGTGTGTGTGTGTGTGTGTGAAAAAAGACCACTGCATAATTATCAGTTTTTCTGCTTTTACAATTTATAGGTTTTTTGTTTTTTTTAAATGACAACTGGTCAAACAAACAAAAGAGAGGCTGTGTTTTTAGACCTAATGCAAAGAAGACAAATAGATTTTCATTTTTAAACCACAGTATTTAATACTTGATGTACAATCACAGCTCTCCTGTGTGGGCTTCCTCTCTTCTCGTGGATGCTGGCTGACTTCCTGGGTGTTTCTCAATCGCGAGTACGCTTGAGTCCAGCGTGGAGGAGGGAACCTGAGGAGAGAACACACACACAGGGGGTGTTTCTCAATCGCGAGTAAAGCTGCTTCCGAGCCACTATTTCAAGCATACTACGTCATCGAGTGCCGCCGAAGTACTGTTCCAATCTCCAGCATACTTGGAAATCTACCGAGCCCGGCGTACTCCGTTTGGAGAAATATCGAGTGTGCACATGAGTAGACTTCGCGGCCTTAAAATCCCCACAATGCTTTGCGCACGGACCAATTTCCCCAAATCTGTGGCGGAAGATGTAAGGCGGACACACTTGCTAGCCTGTTCCACTCTTTGTTTTCCGAATGGCAGGAAGTATTCTTGACTCGCTTCTGAAGCAAGATGCTCGGCAGACATGTGCTACCAAGCAAGCGTACTCGCGATTGAGAAACACCCACAGATTGAACACACGGCTCTCTTCCAGCATGTTCCTCATGCTCCCCTGTATTCACTTCATGTGCTAACATGTCTGCCGAGCATCTTGCTTCAGAAGCGAGGCAAGAATACTTCCTGGCATTCGGAAAACGAAGAGTGGAACACGCTAGCAAGTGTGCAGGTGTGCGTCATATGAGAGGCCCCGCCTTACATCTTCCGCCACAGATTTGGGGAAATTGGTCCGTGCGCAAAGCATTGTGGGGATTTTAAGACCGCGGAGTCTACTCATGTGCAGCCTCGATATTTCTCCAAACGGAGTACGCCGGGCTCGGTAGATTTCCAAGTATGCTGGAGATTGGAACAGTACTTCGGCGGCACTCGATGACGTATGCTTGAAATAGTGGCTCTGAAGCAGCTTTACTCGCGATTGAGAAACACCCAAAGAGTGGAACAGGCTAGCAAGTGTGCAGGTGTGCGTCATATGAGAGGCCCCGCCTTACATCTTCCGCCACAGATTTGGGGAAATTGGTCCGTGCGTAAAGCATTGTGGGGATTTTAAGGACGCGAAGTCTACCCATGTGCAGCCTCGAAATTTCCCCCAAACCAAGGACGCGGCCTCGGTGGAATTCCAAGTATGCTGGACATTGGAACGGTCCTGCTGCGCCACTTGATGACGTAGTATCCTTGAAATATTGGCTTGGAAGCCAATATCCTCGCGATTGAGAAACGGCCTGCGTCTCAGGTCGACTATTTTCATTTCCTCTGTCGTCGGTCCTCTGTATCACCGGAAGTTGATTTGTCTGCGCCATCTTGAGTAGCGTCCCATGGCTCTTATTTCTGCCGGAGGACCGAGGAGCGAGGAGCGATAACCGAGGAACCACCAGACCATCCTCCGGTGAAATCCTCTGAGACTCTCCCCGCCCCCTTACTGTGTATCGCTCACTGATTGGACGATGCAGCGCATGCACTGATCTGATGCTTCTTGACATGAGAGCAGTTTCCCAGCGGAGTGAAGAAAACTCACGGGACTCACTCCTCAGTTTATACTGTGTTTTGTTTCAATTAATGCATCATTCAGTTACAATTATGTGATATATCTATGGGCATAGATATGTCTCATAATTATTTGTGTGTAAATATGTGATTTGTAAATGTAAAACACCATCCACAAATGCATTTAAAAGATTTGCAAAATCACAAATAAATTTGCAAATGTAAAACGGATAAAACAACGGGGACAGAGCTGCTGTCAGACATCAGGCTTGTTTGAGACGAGCTGCGGCTCGCCTCGAAAGTAGACGAGAATAGCCGATCGCAGCCGGGGGAGGTCTCAAAAAGCTCGCCTGAAGTCGGACAGCTCGGAGTCGGCTTCTTCCTCTTCTTCTTCTTCTCTCGGTTTTTTGGCGGATTGCAAACAACTTTAAGGTGCATACCGCCACCTCCGGAGTCTGCTTGACTCGGTTTGCATTTATAAAGAATGCACAAATGTGTTTAATCGTTATTGTCAGATATGTACTAAGTAAATACATTTGTTCCTGCTCAAAATTAGATTAAACTTTATTGTTATTGCACAGATTACAGGTACTGAGACAACGAAATGCAGTTTAGCTTCTAACCAGGAGTGCATAAAGCAGTAAAGTGAAAAGTAATGTACACAATCTACAGAATAAAATATAGAATGAATTGAATGATGAAAAAACAGTGAGGGGTATGAATACCAGGGCCGTTTCTAGCTTTTTGGGGGCCCTATGCAAGATGCTGTTTGGGGGCCCTAGTTTTGACAGTTTTTTAACTACAATGGGGGGGATTCCGAAGCCTTTAATATGATCTGTGGAGATGCATCAATCTGTTACACTTTAATAGGAAAACAGGCTAATTTCACGAAAACCAAGCAATTGAAAATTACAAAAAATGATATTAAAAAGGTAAACAATAAGGCTCCTCTATATCAATAAATGCAAGAGATGCAGCATTTTCTCAACAATGTTTAATTTACATTTTTCATCTTCCTCAGACGTCACTCATTGGCTGTCAGCCAAAAACACAAGCCACAGCTTTGCTATCATTGCAGTTTAGTCGTGTTAATATCCTACATTGGATTTGTAAGCATATAATGCTTCACCGAACACAGGAGGGGGCTTGGCTGTCTACAAATAAAGACGGCTCATTTGAATTCTCCCCAAATATATTGAGGCTGAACCTGAACTTTGAATTCTCTGCTCCCATCATAATCTTGGCGATCTTGTTAAAATTGTGAATGCAGAATTAGAAATACTATGTAACTGGTTTGCAGTTAATAAATTATCCCTTAATGTGGCCAAAACAAATTACATGTTATTCAATACAAAGTCTGAGAGTAGAAATGACTGCATTATACGGATTTGCAATACCGAGATAGAAAAAGTTGGTGCATGTACATTTTTAGGACTGCTTGTTGACGAAAAACTTAATTGGAAGCACCATATAAATGATGTACAGACTAAACTGTCAAAAACAATATGTATTTTGTATCATACTAAGAACATTCTTGAAGAAAAAATACTCTTTATAACAGTCTATTTCTCCCTTACCTTTACTACTGCTCTGAAATATGGGGAAACACGTACTCAACAAATCTACAAAAAATAATAACATCCCAAAAAAAAGTATTACGAATAGTCTGTGGGGTAAATATGAACACACAACTCCCATATTTAAAAAAACTCAATCTATTAAAATGTGTTGACATAGTACAGCTTAAAACAGTACTGATTATGCACAACATTTTCCATAACAAAATGCCTAATAGCATTCAAAAGCAGTTCCAAACCACAGCGTGAACATATGAATGTAAAAAAGGTCACTTGAAAATAAGTGTTCACAATGTTTATATGCAATTATGCATATATTATTATTATTATTATTCATTTGCCAAGTACATATGTATATATTTATATATAGTATTTTCATTTCCAAAAAAAGATAGTTGAAACTGCTATTGACATGTGCAGAAAATGACCCGATATCTAGTTTTCGTATATATGCATTTATTGTTTTCCTGCCCTAACTTTTATTTAATTTTTTCTCCTGTTTTCTTTATTTCTTTGTACTCCTTCATTTCTATACGTTTTTGACGCAATAATGCCGCTGTATTAGGATGATGCACGGGAGGGCTACTTTCCACAAGCTATGCTTCAGCCCTCCCGCTTCTACTAATTTTGTTCATCTTTGTGTGTATGAATTATACTTTTTTTGTTTTTTGGATGAATAAAAAAAAAAAAAAAATTACTTTCAGCTTGGGGGCCCCCTAGTGGATTATCCCTAAATGCCCCCGCATAGTCCGCCTATAGGAAGAAACGGCCCTGATGAATACACTATATACACAGTAGCCTAGCCTAGTATTAACAGTGTGTTGTATGAATATGCTAAGATATATAAAGTATGACAACGGTAAGCAGTGCAAGTATAGTATAAAATATATAGATATTAATTTAATGATGATAAACATTGTGGAACAATGATGAAAAATGTGAATGGAAGTGGCGACGTAAAACTTTTGGTAATAAGTAGTGAATAAAGGTTTTGATTTGCAATATTTATACAACATACCGATATGTGTATGTATTTACATCGATATGTTTTAAAAATAAAATAGAATCTGCTAATATTTATGGGTAATATTAGGAATAGTGTGAACAGCTAGTTTACTTGTTAACATATACATGTTAGGCTGTTGCCTTGGTTAAAGAGCCTGTTGCTGTTGTGTATTGCTTTGAATTATTTAAAACAAATATTATCTTCTTAAACAGGTATGGTAGTCAGGAGCATCACTTCCTAATGTTTATTGATATATTTAGAGGGAGGCATGGCAAGGAATGCTTTAAAATTTAGATTAGATTCATTTCTACCATTTTTTTAATTCATGGTGGTTTCAGTAATCCCATGGTACTTGAGGACATAAGTAATCTAAATGACTAATGTAATCTTTATGACTTTCAGGGTGAGGTCT